TACACGGTGACCCCATCAGCCACAGTGATTTGCTCATAAAAGGTGGAGGGGTGGAAAAGAAGGGAGCCAAAGAAATGACAAGTTTGGCAAAGAGGAAATGTCAACTTTGAAAGGCATTATAAGCAATGTAAAATAAGCATATCAAAATCCATAACAGAAAATTGTGTGAACCTTTAAAATGTCTCTCCTCCCCAGGGAAGAGAGCAGGGAATTTTTTTCTTTTACAGCACAGACATTGGAAATAGGGCATCAATTACATGAGCCATTGGCACCCTAAATCTGGACTAAAGCAGGGTCTTCTAAGGAAAAGGCATGAGGTCTTTGATAATTGATAAAAATTGAGTTGAAGGTTGGCAAGGGTGGATCTTAAAAATCTGCTTTGAGATCAGACAGGCACACTGAAATCACTGAAGTCCCCAAGAAAGGTTGCTTGAAGAGCAAATTAAAAGGGTAGGCACAGCCAGGCATGGTGGCTCACACTTGTAATCTCAGCATTTTGGGAGGCTAGCGTGGGCGGATCACGAGGTTAGGAGTTCAGGACCAGCCTGACCAACAAGGTGAAACCCCATCTCTATTAAAAATACAAAAATTAGCCAGGCTTGGTGGCACACGCCTGTAATCCCAGCTACTCAGGAGTCTGAGGCAGGAGAATTGCTTGAGCTCAGAAGGCGAAGATTGCAGTGAGCCATGATCGTCCCACCGCACTCCAGCCTAGATGACAGAGCAAGACTCCGTCTCCAAAAAACTAAAAACAAAAAACGGTAGGCACACATGCTGGAAGGAATGAAGCAAAGCAGCAACAGATTCGAGTGGAAAGCCCCAAACTGACTTCTCACATTTTCCCATTCAGCTGAGACCTGGCTATGCTGATGTTTACCACTAAATCTGGAAATCTGAAAGGGTTGTGCTGTGCTGAGCATGTCTGAATTTCTTTTCCTCAAAGCGAAATTATGAAGGCAATTATGTTCTTTCTGAATTCTTCCAAACCACATTGCAATTACTTGGATGCTTCAGCTCATGCTAAACATAATGAACAATGGCTGATCTTAATCAGATGTATGATGTGTTCTGCTACTGAGAAAACCATGTGGTTTCTGAGCCAGATGTAAATTATACTTCACAGCAAACTTCTGAACAGTAAAGAGGACATAAGCCTACCTTCTCTGTTAACTTGTACTTCTTTCTAAAGAATTAAAGCTATGCCTTTCAAATACACAGACTGTACTTGTCATGGGCCAACGTGTGCTCCTGCAATAGGCATACTATAGACATGATGTAAGACAGCTCAGGATAATTTTTTTTTTAAATCTGAGATTATGAAATTCCAAAACATGAGCAGTAAACATGACTTATAAAGGTGCCTACCGTTAGAGATAATTAAATAACAAAATACATGTTCCCCAAAATATGTCAATTATTCTGTAGTGCATTTCTTGAAGTAAGTCTGCAAGCTATCTGATTTTGTAGACAATTACAGAACATCTAAACGTGTTTCTACAGTTTATTTTGCATTACCAGATCCCGGATCTCTTTAGAACAATATGCTGCTACCATGTTATCCTTAAAAGTTTGAAAATGTAAGTATTTGTAATTTGCCTACTTTTAAATTCAATTGCCCACATCTTTCGGGTTGCTCTGGTTTTTTCAGAACTTTTCCATAAAATCTTTGTAAATATTAAATATCAATGTGAGATTTAGGTTTCTGATATCATCTACATTCAAATGCTTGAAAACTCACAAACATATTAATATGTAAAATCTGGTACCTACCACAAAGAGTTTTTAACAACATTTACTTTTAAATATAGTTCTAATAAAGAAAAAGGCACCAGGCTGAGTGTAGAGATGAAATCCATTTCAGCTCAGGTCCTAAGTCTTGCATTTCCCTAGGAGAGTGACTTTTAACTTTGTTTTATGCAGCTGTTTTTTTTTAATTGACAGTAACAGGGTGTTAAGCTAGATTTAGTAGTTCAGTCAACAAGTAATCATTGAGTGCATATTGTATATAAGGCCTCATGCTAGACGTGGGGTAGTGCCCAAGATTGTAAGTGGGCTGCAAAACCAGTCCTTGCATTCTAGGCATTTCCACTACCCCATTGAATTCTCCCTCTTAGCTGCATTCCATTTTGAGATTTCCAACTACCTGGAAATTTCCAACTACAGACTCATCCACTTCCTGATAAATGGATTTCCCTATCTCTGTCAGTGACTACCCATTTCTCAATGAGCCAGTACAGAAATTTTGGAGTCTGTCTGACCTCTCCTACACCTTTATTTACCATTTCCAAACTTCCACCAAGACTTACTGATTCATGTTGATTTGTTTTGAATACACCTTTCTTTTTTCTTCCAGTTGCCCCTAAAACAGCCTGAAGACTCATCCCTTAAGCACTAGATTATAGTTCTTCATTGTCTATATATTTCCTAGTTTTCAGGCACTGCATTTTCCAATCCAATTTATATGTAACTTCTGAAATGAAGATTCATAAAATTACAATTTACAATGGCTTCTCAACGTCCTCCAAGCTCCTGTGTTTGTCTTTCAAGATCTGCCATCATCCTTTCCTCTTCTTTCATCCCAGTGTGAGAGCTGTTTACTTACCAACATGCTCACTTATTCTCATGTCTGTGCCCTTGCTCTTGTGGTTTCCCAAGCTTGGAGTGACATTTTTTCTTCTCATATTGAAAGTTAAGTCATCTTTCAAGACTTAGGTCAAGAACCAAGAGTCATATTCTGTGTAGATGACTATAAATTGAATTCCCATTGAATTTATAATCTCTTCTGCACTGGTTGTTGGCATTATTCTCTATTCCTAAGCATTTCATGTATCTCCTTGACTAGGTTAAAGCTTTTGCATTTGTTTTATATGTAAACATTTCCCATGGAATTTAGCATAATGCCAGATATGTAAAATGTATTACATAAATACTTGTTGATGACTGACTCATGCTTATGCTATGGCTAAATAAAAGAAGTCTAACCCATCAATAAACATTTTTAGAGATAATTCAGCTCCATTTCATTGGTAAACCAAGATATAAGGCATAGTCCCTGATCTCAAAAATGGTAACATCTTATTAACATTACCTTACAGATGTATGTCGAATTCTGAATGGTCTGCCTAAAGTCTAGTCCAGTGTAGATTCATTGAGACAGACCACTGGCAACATTCCTCTTGCAAGCTTACTCTTACTATCCAATCTATGCACTCTTTTATTCCTTTCCCAATGTTAGCTGTCTTTCTTTTTCCTCATCCATACCTTAACCTTCTATCAAGACAGAATCACCTTAGGAAGGACATTCCTCATGACATCATAGCTTCATTTGGGCCTGATTTCTCAATTTTCCACTGCTTTGACTTCTGGTGCCTTGAAAGGGGGGACTGTAGAATTTAAAGGTGGAAATCTCACAATAGGATAGGCTCTTACAATGAGAAACAGACTGAAGAGATCAAATAGGGGCACTAAAGCTTCTAAAGAGGAATACAGACCCCTTTTCATTCTACTAAGGTTCCTTTATATAATTAAGGACTTCTGACATCAAACTTTTCTAAACTCAGAGAGACGGGACTGGATGAGAAAGAAAGCTTACAGGTTTTTCTCATATCAGAAATTGAAAATGAGAATTTTATAAAAATTTTAACAATATTTAACTATCCTTTAAAGGGACACTTAATTTTAAGTAGGTAGTTTAAGTCTTAAAGCTTGCTCTTCAGTATGTTACTCTTTAAAATATATATAACTGTTAGTAATTAGTGAAAATTAACTTTTATATGTGTTTATGTGAAGTTAAGCTTTCTAAGAATAACATGTACTGCATTTCTGTTTATTATAGTTTATGCACAAAATCTGACCAGTTGGTCTACTCACCATTATTCTCCCAGAGGTACCTGAAATGCAGGTATAATTTCTAAAAGAATAAAGTTGGTGTCTAGAGGGAGGGCTTAACCCATTTAACCTTAAAAACTGGGTGATGGGATGGGTGGAGAGTATAGGAGGGAGGGAAAGGGAACATTAACATTTAGCATCTAGCATTCGGTTTGTCACCTGAGATATTTGTAAGGAGAATAAAAGAGTAAAGTATCTCAACAAATTCTAGTTTATAATAGCACACAATCATGTACTTAAAAAAGTGAAAATTCATTACTTTTTATAATCTTTAGGACATTATCATATTAACCAAGTCTAAAAAATAAAACGAAATGCAGAAAATCCACATTTTTATTAGTGAAATAATTATAGTGATTCATAGATCCTTGTTATTTAAGTAGATATAGATCTCTTTTTGCTTATTATTATAGCTACTAGAAAAATAGGCTTGTTTAGTTTAAGTTATTAAACTAATGTTTAACTCCTGCTCCTTTTTTTCTATAATGTTCAATTAAACAAAAATTGCATTTACTAAAAATTCTATTAAATATTAAGCAAAAAGCTCTAATATTCAGTTTATATAATTTTCAACAAGTTAAATATACTTTAAAAATCATATCTATAAGGAACTTAGCCAATATTAAAGGGTTTGAAGGTAGATGCAAGAAACCCGATAGTTCATCATAAACATTAGCCCAAACTCAGTAGGTCAGGAAAGGCGCAAATCATGGAAGTGATATTAACACTTTCAAAGCACCATCTCATTTTTGCCTCCGAATCCTTCCTAATGAATTTCAGACAGGTGCATTTAAGCTACTCTGAAACGAGAACAATTAAAGAATTCTCACCAAAAGAACGTAATTATGAAACAATAGCTTTTTGGATACAGACCTTCCTTGAGGTTAACCCAGGCATCAACAGAAATCACTAATGGTTTCCTCTAACATTGCCAAGGAATGTTTCTTTTTTTACTTTAAGTTAGTTTCCATTGCCAGATGACTGGACTGCACTTTCTACCATAAATAATTCATTCTGTTAAAGTTTCATTCATAAAACAAACTGTAGTCAAATAATATTTCCCATTACCTTGTAAAATAAGTAAATAACAACAACAAAACCCACTGGCTTACCATTTTCCTTCTTCATTTTCATACTGTTGAACAGTATATCCAAACATGTCTTCCACTGGGCCGCTGAAAGTCATTGAATTTTTCACATCAACATTGAAGGATACACAGAAGCCTAGAAAAACTTTAGGAGAAAAACGAAATCCAGTTACATAAGGTTAACTAAGATTCCATCATGTTTTGAATTATAGAAGGCATTTTTAAGGTTACCATCAAAAGCTGTGTTCCTATTTAAAAAAAAAACAAGAACAAAAAACAATAAAGCTCAAAGTTTGAAAACCCAAGGAAGGTCTCCATTCTTAACTGTATTACTAACTGTAAATCAACATAATAACTTTAAAGAACACAAATATTGGCTGGGCTTGGTGGCTCAAGCCTGTAATCCCAGCACTTTGGGAAGCAGAGGCGGGTGGATCACGAGGTCAAGAGATGGAGACCATCCTGGTCAAAATGCTAAAACCCCGTCTCTACTGAAGATACAAAAAATTAGCTGGGCATGGTAGCGCGTGCCTGTAATCCCAGCTACTCGGGAGGCTGAGGCAGGAGAATTGCCTGAACTCAGGAGGCGGAGGTTGCGGTGAGCCGAGATCGCGCCATTGCACTCCAGCCTGGGTAACAAGAGCGAAACTCCGTCTCAAAAAAAAAAAAAAAAGAAGTTTGAAAGGAAAAGGCAAGCTGGTGGTCTCCACCCAGAGACGTCTTCCTATGCAGGCCTGAGATTTGCTCTGTTTCCCTTCCTTAATCAAATTTTGGATGGAAACTTATACTAATTCTCTGAAGCCTCCTTATAATTTTGGTGTTGATAAACTCATGGCTTTTTATCCAGACTAACTCACATGATATATTTAAAGGGTTTACCCAATGCCTGGCACATACTACATATTTGATGAGGGCTGATTCTTTTTAATTTTCTCATAGTATAGGTAGTGGAAACTCTTAGGAAATGAGACTGTCTCCTAAAGAAGTTCTGGAATCACCGCCTCAAATTGGATGGTGCCAAATTCCTGCTTTGGTACTGGTTTTTAAAGTATATTTGTGAAGTTCCAAAATATTCTTCTCCTAGATGTAACTAAGAATTCTTTCCAGGGGGCTAGACACGGTGGCTCATGCCAGTAATCCCAGCACTTTGAGAGGTGGGTGGATCACCCAGGATCAGGAGTTTGAGACTAGCCTGGCCAACACGATGAAACCCCATCTCTAATAAAAATACAAAAATTAACCAGGTGTGGTGGCGGGCACCTGTAGTCCCAGCTACTAGGGAGGCTGAGGCAGGAGCATCGCTTGAACCTGGGAGGTAGAAGTTGCAGTGAGCCAAAATCGTGCCACTGCACTCCAGCCTGGGCGACAGAGAAAGACTGTCTCAAAAATTACTCTAATATTTGAACCCTTGCTCACTATGAACTTTTTCTATATATACTTTAAATATATACTCTCATATACATGAGAATAGCTTGAAGCTGGGAGACAGAGGTTGCAGTGAACAGAGATTGCATCACTGCACTCCAGCCTGGGCAAGACTCTGCCTTAAAAAAGAAAAAAAAAAGTCAAGTATTAGTGTGTCTAAACACATCTAAACACAGAAAAGGTACACTCAAGCTATTGTATTATAATCTTATGACACCACCATTGTGTATGCAGTTTGCCATTAGCCGGAACGTTGTTATACGGTGCATGACTGTATTTAGTTTAAAGAGTAAGCAGCATTTAAAAGTCTTCAAATGTATGAAAGACTATTATGCAGAAGATGTTAACCAGCTGTTCTCTATCACCCTTGAAGAATGAACAGGAAATGTATATAAAAGGACTTGTGTAATTCATCCATTCTTTTTCTGCTTCCTTCATGCCAGCTAGACAAATCTCTTCATGATCTTGCAACCATATTCATCCCAACCTGTGTCTTAATACTTGCAGATACCCTCCCAAATCCTAGGTACACATTTTCTTTTCACTGCCAAATCTCATCTCTTTCTCCCCTTAAAAATCTTAGTTGAAAATTTATATCTCCATAAAATCTTCCTTAACTAAGATGAAATAGTTGCCAGTTCATCTTTAACTATAGCTGGCATACTTCTTCCTTCAATGTGTTATCTGTCAGTCTGCAAATATGTTATTGCCCATCTGTGTACAAGAAGTTGTGCTAGATTTTGATAAAGGATTAAAAAAGGTTAGTAAGAGAATTATGGCTTTTAGGAATTTTTCAATCTGGGTGGAAAAAATATCACACAGATAACAATATTGTATTTAATAATTATCTCCATGAGAGATTTCTTAAAAAATAAGAAAGGAGGTTTTAGAAGTTTAAAGATTACTTCTAGGTGGGGGAGGTCAAGAAAGACTTTACAAATAGACATACAGATGTATCCTTTTTTGTTTCTCTGATAAATTTATTCTTCAAGGAAAAAGCAGTTACTATTGTTGCCAAAACTTAGAGATTATAAATTAGAGAAGTGTGGATTTAAAGTATATTTATGAAAAAATTCATAGTGAGCAAGGGTTAAAACATTAGAGTAATTTAATCCACTCACAGTTCATAAGACTAGGAAAGAGAATTTTTCAGGATCTCTGTGGCTATATGGTGGTTTTAACAAAGGAAACTGAATTTAGCCATCTCTGAATATACCTTCTCATGCCTCAGCTTCACAAGTAGTTGGCATTATAGGTGCCTGCCACCACACCTGGCTAATTTTTTGTATTTTTAGTAGAGACAGAGTTTTGCCATGTTGGCCAGGCTGGACTCAAACTCCTGGCCTACCAAGTGATCTACCTGCCTTGGCCTCCCAAAGTGCTGAGATTACAGGTGTGAGCCACTGCACCTAGCTGCCATTGTGTTTCAGTGGCCTACAGTATATAGTATAGTAACATTCTGTAGAGGTCTGTAGCCTAGAAGCCATAGGTGATATCATATAGCCTAGATGTGTACTCAGCTCTACCATCTAGATTTGTGTAAATACACTCTATGATGTTTGCACAATGATGAAATTACCTAAGGACACAGTTCCCAGGACATATCCCTATTGCTAATAGAAGCATGACTGTAGTACATGCTCCTATTCTTTGCTCATAGATTTTGTGTATTTATTTTTTGAAAAATTTCAACAAAGTATTTTTGATATAAGAAATGTATAAAATAATACCTCTGCAGCGGAGTTTCTCAACTTTGGTACTATTCACATTTGAGTCAGAAAATTCTTTGTGATGAGGCGCTATCCTGTATACTGTAGGGTGTTTAGCAGCATCCTTGGCCCCTACCCACATGAAGCCAATAGCACTTCATGAATTGTCACAATCAATCAGAAATCTCCAGACACAGCCAAATTCCCATGAGTCCAAAACTGTCCCCAGTTGAAAACCACTCTTCCACAGATAAAGACCAGAACACCACCACCAATTATTTTGTTGAACAAGGTGACTGAAAACCAGCCATGGCTCAGAAACCAGCAGCATCTGTGTTGCCTGGGAGCTTGTGAATAATGCAGAACCTCTGGTCCTATCCAGATTCCCTGAATCAGTACCTACACTTCCACAAGATCCCCAGGGCAGCCATTCTTACTAAGGTTTGAGAATCGCAGCTCTGTTACGTGGTACTTCTTTTTCATGATGTCAATACAGGTGGTGGAAGTTATCTAAATTAAAAATACTATGCTGTAGAGAAATGGGGAAAGGGATACTCTTTAATCAGGGTCAATTTTACACCCTTTGAAGGATTTTTTTTAGCATGTCATCATCTTTAGTACATTTTCAACAAAAGCCATTTGTGGTTCCCTCTTCTCAACATAAGACCAGGCAGTTTTGGTTTCCTTTTGGGGCCTGCTTATTTATTCTACATGTCGTGTGGAATGTCCGGGGGTGTGTACTTCTTTTTTCATTTCCTGTCCTTGGAATTCTACAGGCAATTTGCCCAAAGTGATTGTAATTCAGGCTCTTTTATGTTTTCTGAGGCATCAAAGAGCCTGAAGAACAGGAGATGACATAAAAAAATAGATTACATCTAGTTCTTTTGATTTAAAGGAGTGAGTAAACAATATAAGCAGCTTTTCATAACTTTTAGTTCAATGTGCATTTTGTTATACCTAAGTCGTTTCAGAACAGTATGTACCAGAAGTAAGTAAAATTGTACTTATTCACAACCAAGCCTCCCCCTCCACACCCTCAAAAAAAGCAAAACACTGAGGTGGCTACAGAGACGATATAGAAAATAATACTAAAAACAATGGGAAATAAACATAGTCAGAAGTCAAAAGTAAATTCGGATTTCACATGTACCAGCAATTGAAAACCAGTCATTTTTCCCCTTAGAAATAATAACAACTATACTGTGTACTGACCATGTGTTACTCTCATTTAATTTGCCAGCAACTCCATAATTAAACACCATTTATCATCGTCATTCTGAAAATGAGGAGAAGAAAGTTCTGGAAGGCAGAGAAACGTGCCCACATTTCCACGGATTCTAAGTCCAAAGAAGTGACCACTATTCATATTAATTCGATTTTTACATCCTAGGCCCAAAACTACAAAGGGCTAGTAAAAAGTGATATGAGGATGAGCTTAGAGGACAGCCACATCTTAGTCCGCATAACTACATCTCGTGAGAGGTAAATCTGGGAAGGAGACTTTTCTACACTAGCAATGGGCTGGAGAGGATTTGGGGAACGAGTGGAAAGCCTGGGTAAAGAGAGAAGTCCTGGCCACAGGGCTCCAGATCTAGCTTCTTGAAGGACTTCAGCTAGAACTTATAGGTTTAGGTAGAGCAAAATGAAGACTTGCTCCCATTCATATATGTAAGGGTTAAAAGCAAAATAGAAAGATGAATTGCTGGTGTTGAAGGGTATCTCTTATAAAAAGAAATTTTGAGTAATTTCTTTACCCCAGGATGGAATTTGATATGTCGGAAAACTAAATGAGAGAGAGGGAGAAGAAACCTACAGTTCTGCAGTGCTTTCTGCTTACAAACATTTTAAACTATAATATTAATAACAGTAATGATAGTCAGCTATTCAATAATCTGTAGAGGTTAGGCAGAACAGCAGACATTCCCCTCTTTTTGTATATTAGGAAATTGAAGCCCAGAGAGGTTGAGTGATTTGCCAAAAGCCAGCCTGCGTTAATGACAGAAGCAAGATT